TGCTTGCACAAACACATACAGAGAACAAAGCTTCGAGGTAAGTTCCTCTTTTATTTAAGGAATCAGATATGTATCAAAATTAGATAATCTTTTTTTTTTGTTTGTGTTTATAAAGTTTTCTGGAGAAAATACCTTACAATCTGTTCTACTGTTACCTTCTATCTCAACAGCTACTAATGTTAGTAAACTCTACCTTCATTAACCTCAAATGATCTTTCTGAAGTTCAGCACCATTTCCTATGGTCTCTTCAGAAGTTACTCTCCATGGAGGTAAAAATGACCATAAACCTAGGTAATGGGTTCCTTCAGTTGCTCTTTTTTAAGTAACATAAAGTCTTATGTTCCTCGTCAGAAGTGAGAGTTAAGGGGCCAGGGAGATGGCTCAGAAGAATAAGTGCTTCCCTGGCAAGTACAAGGGCCTGAGTTCAATCCCCAGTTCTGCCAAAAAAAAAAGTGAGAGTTAAGGACCAGCCAAATAGCTCAGCAGATTAAAGCACCTGCAAGCAGGTGCAGGGGCTGGGGGTTCGTCCCTGGGCCTGCCATGCTGGCCCCCTCCCTGGGGCGCATTGAGAAGAGTGGGAGTGGTAGCGCATGCCTATAATCCTAGCTCTTGGGAGGCTATAAACAGGCAGATCACTATGAGTTTGATCTAGTAATGAGATCGTGAACACCCCTGAACATCCCTAAAATACAAAAAAAAAAAAAAAAAAATTAAGTACTGAATTTTCTTGAAATGTTCTAACAAATTTTAACTTCAAAGAAAGATGATGGCATTAATCCAAATACATTGAAAGATGCAGTTACAAATAAGCTAATATATAATTCTCTACGTATACACGTTTCCTAAACCCTAACCCTAACCCTCCATATTTCTCCTCTTTTATAGTTTCCAAACCTACTTACATGCATTATCATGTGAATGCAACATTGCAGTTTCAGAGGAAATGGCTTCCAAATATATGTAGATTTAAAAAAAAAAAATAAAAAACTAACATTGCCAAAACATGTTCTTCAAGATAGCAAGACTTGGATACAACAAAGAAAAAGAAACCCATAATCAAGCTTGGAGTTTGCTGGGTAAAGCAAAGTTTCACAGGATTCTTTACCCCCAGACTTCTGAGTCTTTAATATAATCTTAGTATGGCATTCCCTGAAACACTCAGATGACACTTTTGGACAAACACATGTGGCAAGAATCCCAATCCAGAAGTAAAAGATGATTACAAGAACTCAAGACCTCACAAATTATCAAGACTTGGGCCTGGCGTAGTGGCACACTCCTGGAATCCCAGCACTCCGGAGGCTGAGGCAGGATTGTTGTGAGTTGAGACCAGACTGGGATACAAAGTGAGCTCAAGGTCAGCCTGAGCTGCACAGCGAGACCCTGTCTCAAAAAACTTGTGACTTGATGAAAGTTGGCCAAAAGAAAAGGCACACATTTGGAAGAAGCGGTGGTCTGTGAAAAAAGTCAGCACAAGACAATGAGACAGTGCAAAGTTGGACAGAAAGCTAAGCCCTGTCCTGAGAATATGCACATATGATAGCTCTAAGAGCCAGCGATTTGGTTCAGCAGCACAGTGCCCGCCTGGAAAGCTGCAAAGTCCTAAGTGTGATTCCTGGTACCCAAAACAATAAAATAAAATGAAACAAAAATTAACACATAAGATACTTCCAGCAATAAACCTAGAAAAATGTAAGGATATGAAAACTGTATGGATAGCGACAGTACAAATTAAAGTGGAAAACTGCCCGACAAAGGGTGCCACAATGCATACCCATATTAGACGGTGATGATATGATTTAGTTAGTAAAGAACTACCTAATTTCCCCCAAGGAAATTCTGAAATGACAGACCTACTGGTCACTCACTACTCTCTTTTTGGATCATGGTCCCCTTTGAGAACATAATGAATACCATCTCTCCAGAAAAACACAAGGATATACAATATTAAGCCTATTAATTTCAGACAACTTCATGGGCCTCTTGAGGCCCAAGCACAGAGCTCTCCAAGAGTTACTACAATTAAGTCCAACTTAATTCAATGGTTCCATGTTTAGCACCTACAGATCAACAAATTAAAAAGCAAACCATAAAATTTTTAGGAATAAAATGCATTCCTAAACAACACAACTTGTATAAATAGGAAAAATCTAAAACAGCAAAACAAATATGAAAAATATGTATCTCTATAGAATGAATGTGATTACATACACACAAGAAATACAGAAATAGCTTAAGCTTTGTGTTATTTAGCAGGCAAGGGACTATGACACCAAGAACCACATAGTTTCCCTGCTCTGGGTTCCTGCTATTGGAAGATTCTGGCAGGAAGTGCCCGAGCATCTATCATCTGACGTCCACTTGGCAGGCTACAAAAACAGGGAGGCCTGGCGCCACAGCAGGAGTCAGGGATTTGTACTACTACTTAAAACTCCACACTAACTCAGAGCATGGCTACAAATGGAATGCTGAATTAAATGTGTGCCTCTGTTTCTCCACTGGAGATTCATCACTGTATTATCTGGCCATGTCCTGTTTTTGGAGAGGCAATACCTTCTACCTGTTGAGAATGTAGTCTCTGAATTTTGGCCTTACCGCCTATCAATGTTGGCAAGTTACTTTAACGTTGCTTTATGTGCCTTGGTTTCTTCAACTACAAACTGGAGCTAATAATGTAGAGTTGTTGTTAGGACTGAGTAGAAAAATCTTTAAAAATATTAACTCATATTACTGAGATTTAAAATGGATAACAAGAGTAATCAATTTAGTATAGCTCTAATGCACTTAGACGTCCCAAAGACATTACAGCCCTATTTTTCATTTTACTTTTTAATCAAGTAATTCAGTTACCCATAATCATTTTTAAAATATTTTTAATCTTTTATTTATGTATTATTTATTTGGTACAGGGTCTCCTATGCAGCTCCAACTTGTAGTGATCCTCCTGTCTCAGACTCCCCAGAGCTGGGATTACACTTGTGTGCCACCACACCCACAGTGCACCCGCAGTACTGGGGATGGAACCCAGGTCCATGTGCTTGCCAGGCAGGCACTTAGACCACTGAACTATCTCCTCACTGTCATTTTAAGTTGTATTAAATAGATGAGCAATCATTCTTATGAAGAGCCTCCTGTATCATCTGCCACCTAAGACATACATCCCTAAAATTCTCCTTAACTTTTATCTGAATAAAGCTGAACTCCCCCATCAGGCATTAGCTACTTGGATCCATCCTCTATTTTCACAGTTGCCATCATCAAATTCCAAAACATTATCCTTAGTAGGTCGATACCAATGGCCTCCTAACTCCCTCCTCACTGCTCTTCATACTATAGTTCTGAGAGCTTTCAGAGACCAAAGTTTAAGTCCAGTGGCCTCTGTGACTTTTGCACCAGCTTCCCAATGTCCAAGAGATCAAATCTCCCCACAAGAGCTAAAAGGCCTGCAAGATCTGGAGACATCCTCTGTCTGACTGCTCACACCATGAGGCCTGCTTCCAAATCGTTACTGACTGTTCTGGCCTCAGAATCATGCTCGCTCCGTCCCTCTGTGCGGCATCACGCCCCCTCCCCACCACCCCAGTCATGCCTAGTTATTTTTCAGATCTCAGTTACTAGGTGATAAGCTTCGGGCCACTCGCCCTCCATACAGAGTCCTCCTGCCTCTGCAGCACAAAGTATAGCTGCAATAATAAAATATAAACATCACGCGAAAAACGAGACCACATCTATTTTATCTACTGCTACAATCCGAATGCTTAGATGCCCAGTACCTTATATATTGTAAGTGTGCTAAATACACCTGTTATTGTCTATAGGAAAAAAAAAAAAAAACGTGAGGGTGAAAAGCAAATTATTTACAAAACAAGACAAATGCATTAACAGCAGCTGCCCTTTATTAAATACCCAAGTTAACTTATGCGGGCCAGGGCGACAGCTCACCGGTATAAGCGCCTGCCTGGCAAGCCCAAGGTCCTGAGTCTGATCCCTGGTACATTGAAAGAAAAAAAAAGAAAAAAAAAGTCCTCCCTTTTCTAAATTACCTTATGCAATTGCTGAACAGTAAAAACCTATTCCTTAAACCCGGGGCAAATTAAAAGTTGAAACTCTGTAAAATTCAATTTTCTTTGTGCATCCTCAGGTGTTACGTGAAACAAGAGGCGTTCAACTTGAGTTACCGGTAAGAAGATACGCAACTAAATCAAGACTGCCGCCACATTTGGCCTTCTCCTCCTCCCTTGGCAGTCTCTTCGAGGCCAAGAGTTGAGCTGGCCAGGGCAGAGTGATTTATCCTCCACATTTAGAAGTGGTCCCTCTACATTAAGAATGCTCGCTGTCCTAATGGGCTTTGAATTCTCATCTTGTCAAACCAGTACCTTTCTTAAGTATTGTTTGGTTCTTACGGGTCCCTGACACACAAAAAAAGTCCAATTAAATCTGAACCTAACAAAGTTGATCCTTTCTAAAAAAAAAAAAAAAGAGGAAAAAAAGAAAAACAAAACTAACGATAGTAGATCTCTTTGTAAAAGAAAATTATTTGTAAAATTGAAAGAAACTGATAGGTGGATGTTAAAAGGGTATTAGAGCAGAGGGGCTGTGCACAGAGGCTGTCGGGGCAATCAGGAGCGCAGGCCTGCAGGGCAACAGCGGCAGCTCAACCGACAAGGGACGTTCCCAGGCCCTCCGCAGAAGCACGCAGGTTTGACAAACGCCAAGCCCCGCCGCCCGACGGGTGCCACCGACCCTACCAACGCCACAGACGTGCAGCCCAGCTGCACGGCGCTGAGCTCAGGGGCCCGCTGCAAGCAGCCCAGCCCTGGAAATGCAAGGAAGCCGGGAGGTGTCAAAAAGCACGTCAGGCGCACGGGCCAGGTACGACCCGGGGATCTCGGGGTCACACCCTCGGCCCTTTGTTGGGTCTCGGGCGGCGGAGCGCGGACTCCGGCGGCCCCGGCGGGTGGGCACCCCGCGGCCCGGGACGCGCGGCCGCAGCCTTTACCTTGTAGACGTCGCCGTAGGTGCCGCTGCCGATGCGCTGAATCAGCTCGAAGTCCTCCTGCGGGTTCCGGCGGGACAGGTCGAAGCCCGGGTTCATGGCGGGCCCCAGGTGCCCCCCGCCTCCCTCCCGGGCAGGGGAGGGGGGGCGCTCAGGGGGCCACACGGAGAGTGGGCGCCGCGGCCGGCCCCCTGCGCCCCCGGCGGTCACAATCGCCCGGCTCCACCGCTCGCCTCGCGCCGCGGCCGACGACGACGACAACCCGCCTCACGTCCCCGCCCCCCGCCGCCGCCGAGCTCGCCGCGGCGCCGGGCCGGGTCACACCCACAAGGAGCGGAGAGCTCCCGCCGCCCCTCGCTCGCGGGAAGCCTCCAACATGGCTCCCGCCTCTCCTCCCCGCCCCCCGCCCTCCACTTTCCCGGCGCCCGCCCGACTGCGCAAGCGCGAGCCCGGGCGCGCTCCACGCTCGGCGCTCCGCGGCCCGCCGGCCGGAGCCGACCCGCGGCGGAACGACTCTGGGCAGGGTTTGCGGGCCCGCCGCGGGGACGGGCGGGAGGTGGCTCGGAGGACAGGGCTGGAGGCGCGCCGCAGGGCAGTCCTGAGCAGGTAGTGCAGTTGTATCTCGCGGGAAGACGGTGGCCCAAACTTTTTTGTGAAGAATAGGCTACACCGGGATTCCACGGCCTTTCTAGGGCTGGGGCGCGAGGGTCGCCCGGCCACAGAGGAAAGGGGCCGCGCTCGCCCCGACTTGGCGCGCGGGCTCTGCCGCGGGTCGGGCGCAGGGGACGGTGGGGCGGCGCGCGGAGGGGGCGGGG